TAGGTGCCCAAATTCTACATGAGTTGTCTGGGAGAGGTTATCTTTGGAATCTGGAAGAATCAGCTGGTTAAGGTATCTAGTGCAAGTAGTGAAATGTGTGTTGAGACACACAGTGACCTTAAGTTCTTTTTATAGTCCAGATTTAGGGAGCGCAGTTGAGATTCCCAAGTATCAGCCTTCTTACCTGTGGTGGTTTAGACTTTAGTTATGTCAATTCTTGATTTTGTAAGGTGTTGCTAGGATGCTTGTGATCCAATAGGTCAGTGGTTGGCATCTTCACCAGGATGTAGGAGACTCAGGTGCAAAATTCCCTGCCTGACTGGCAGAGGTTTCCTCATGTGCCTGGAAAATGCCTGGTCTGACAAATTACCACCCAAAAGATATGTTTTGGATATTGAACTGACGGCACAAGGGTGCTGTCAATTCTTGAGCAATTCTTTGTAGATCCATCAATAGGCGAGGCATCTGTGCATCATTATTAAGTCTCTTATTTACTTATTTTTTTAGCTTGCTACCTAAATTTGTAGTCACCAGAGATAATTTTCTATGTCTGATCTAACTTCTGTATCTTGTATGTGAAAATCATGGTGATACAGATGGTCCATGAGTTTCATCTGTGTTTATTTCATGGACAAAGAATTGCCCCAAGATATTTAGGTGTTGACATGATTAAAGACAGGAAAACACTGCTCTCATAATCTTTCCTATCTTTTAAAAATTATTTTAGCATTTAATGTTTCCTTTAACTGTTTTTGTGTAGAGTATAAAGCCTAATAGTTTCTTTGGAATTCTTTTTGATGGAAATGCAGGTATTTTAACAATTCATGCTAACTTTGATTAGACAATATAATAATGATGGCTTTCAAGCGTGACCTGACTGTTTGTGTCTAAAGTAATATTGAGGCTATGTCTTTTTTTTTTTTTTTTTTTTTTTAAATAAATATAGAGTTTGCTTTCTAAAGCACAAGGAATAGGCTCCAGCTCAGTCAAACTTCGAGGGGGCTCTCTATTTATGAATGTTGGGAAATCGGAGAAGCAAGAAGAAGATATTAGACAAACGCCTCATGTGAACATTAATCCCTTCACTCCCGATTCCATGTTCCTTCACAACTCTGAAGGAAAATGTCGGAGGAGGAAGAGAACACACTGGAATGAGTGAGTAACTTATATCTTCCTTTTTTAAGCTTATCTTTAGAACTACTTTTAGCTGCAAAAGTTTTGTTACAGATTGCTTCTATGAAAGTATTTTTCTTTGCAAATCTGCTAGTGGTGCATATTATAGCTCTTAAAGTATCTGCTTTGAGATGCATGATGTTATGAAATAACCATTTAGCGTGAGATCTTTTGATTAGTATACAGAGAGGATAGACACGGCTGTGTCCTGTAGTCTTTCCACCTGACTGAATGAGCTATGCAGAGAGTCGTTTCTTGAGGAGGAGAAAACCACATTAAACACTAGTATGAAACATGAAAGAAATGACAAAGGTATTAGCATGGTACCTTTATTTTATGAGTTTGTGCTTACAAATGTCTAGTGTTCAATTAATTAAACTTAGGTAGAATGGGAGAATTTGGATTCGGAAAAATCGACAGCTGCTAGACTTCAGTTTTAAGTTTATTTCAGCCATATTACTTCTGAAAAAGTAACTGGTGTGAATTTCAGCTCTTGCGGAGAGGACATGGAAGCAAGTGATGGAGAGCCTGAAGATGAAACTATCAGACCTGCTAAGGTAATTAATCTTTAGAACTTGATGCTAAGTTTGGCAGTTTGTGTATCTGCAGATCCAAGTATTTTCCTTTCTAATCTTTTTAGAGGATAACAATAACGGAAAGTAATATGAAGTCACGGTATGCAACTGAATTTCATGAGTTGGAGAAGATTGGATCTGGTGAATTTGGTTCTGTGTTTAAATGTGTGAAGAGGCTTGATGGCTGTATTTATGCAATAAAGCGATCAAAGAAACCCTTGGCTGGTTCAGTGGATGAGTGAGTATTTCCTGCTATTAAAAGTTACCCTTTGGTGCATTTTCCTCCCATTCCTCTTTTTACTGGTGTCTAGAGGAAGCGTTTAGGAGAAAAGTATAAGTATATATGAATGAAATGTAAACCATAGAATTTTAAAGTCACTTTTTTGGGTTTTTTTTTTTTGAATACTGTGTAGTGCTGGGGAAGAAAGCTACTTGGCCTTTCTCCTAGCAGGTGTTTGTCCCAATATTCTGTGTGGAAACAGGTTGTTCTCTTCTGGAAAGTAAAAATAATGCTTACTTGCATTAATGGCAGGAGGGACTATATGAATAAACTGCAGTGATTGATCCTTTGAGATAGGAAAGGAAAGCAGTGTTCCCAACTAGATCCTCATCTCTGTCAACTTGAGTGACATGCAGATTAGTTAAGTCAGTTTTGGAGTATTTTTTGGCATTTGTGAATGAGCCTGTGATTTGTGACCTTTCCCCTCGTTGTTCTAATAGTTATAATATAAAACCCCACCTTTGAGTTGCTCAAAATTGCACAGCAGGCTTACACACAAGAAGTTAGGAATGTTGAGTTCAGTTGTACTCCTGGCTTATGATCATCAGTAGTTTTTTCCTAAAACTTGAGCGATGCTTCTCAAAGTTTGCTGCTCCTAGTTGGAAAGTACGTAATGGAAGTGGCAGGTCCCTCAAGAATTATCTGCAACAAAACCTGGTTTTTGGTGTTCCATATAAGTCTCTTAATACAGTGTAAATTATTTTAGCTGGCAGAGGCGCGTGATATTTTAATAAATGTTTTTATCAAGCTTAAATTGGGCTAATTTCACCTCATAACGTTCTTGCATGCTGTTATTTTTTTGTGGCTGTAATAGGCAAAATGCTTTAAGAGAGGTCTATGCACATGCAGTTCTGGGACAACATTCTCATGTAGTCAGGTACTACTCTGCATGGGCAGAAGATGATCATATGCTTATACAGAATGAATATTGCAATGGTAAGTTAAGTTTTATCTATTTTTCTGAACGTGCTTTCAAAAAAATCTGTTATTTGAAGATATGCAGGTATCTACAAATCCTTAGCAGTAGTTAGGAATCGATTGCCCTACACATAGCTCATACCATCATTGTCTCAAATGTGTCTGATGTTCCTTTCTTTTGGAAAAGGCATATCAGCTACACAAAGCAAAAACTATGCAAAATTGCTGACTGAGTCTTAAGTGTTCAAGAATATTGGAAGTACGGTGAGGCATTTGTGAGCAGCAAATCTGTTCTTTTTTCTGTACAGTAGTACAAGCTGGGATAGAGAAAATTACCAGAGAGTTTCCTTCAAAAGGGGAGGTGGACCTGATTTCTGAAGCTTGTTGGTATGGTTGATACCCTGCCAGAGATTTGGAAGAGGGAGAAAGGTCTCTTTCCTAGTGTTGGTATTCTGTTAATTTGCATGGCAACCACAGCAGAAAGATAGTTTTGTTACATGGCTATAAAGGCGGGATACAGCACTAGATTTTACACTTCCTGTGTATCATCAGCAAGTTCCTGGTGATGTATTCGCTGTTAATTTTGGAAGCCAGTTGTATGTACTTTTGGAAGCAAGTTGTCATTACTTTGTCAACTGTTTGATGTAAAATAAGTAGTTGTTTTGTTTAATGTTTTTCTAGGTGGCAGTTTAGCAGATGCCATAAGTGAAAATTACAGGAATATGCGTTATTTTACTGAACCAGAACTGAAGGACCTGCTACTTCAGGTGGCTCGAGGCTTAAAGTACATTCATTCAATGTCACTGGTACACATGGATATCAAACCTAGTAAGTTTGTAAACTGCTTTACTCTGTATTGACAACTTCCTCAGTTTTTTTAATCTGCTGTAGAAAAATGAGCAGTTAGCCACACCTTACTAACTGTAAATTCTTCACTGAAGTTCTAAATAGCAGTACAAAGATGTCAGTTGTAAAATTGGCTAGCAAACGTAAAGTGTTGTTGAGTTTATCTTGGGTCCTTTTTGTGTAGTTGACTCTACTTGCATAACACTTGGCTCACCTCCCAGCAGAGGGGCCAGAGCAAGTAAGTTGTAGTTTCTTCCTCTACAAACTGGGTATGTATACAACTAAAACTTCTGTGTGGCTAAAGCAAACTGTAGTGAAAATAGACGAAGTAGACATTGGACAGAAATGTTTTCTTTAACAATTCTGCTCTTTTTTCAGGTAATATTTTCATATCTAGGACATCAGTCCCAAGTACAACTTCAGAAGAAGGTGATGATGATGAGTGGTCGTCTGATAGAGTCATATTTAAAATAGGTGAGAAGCAGCACGCTTGTGCTTAAAAGAATTGCATTGTCTATTTGTCTTCCAAAAAATAATTTTCTTTTTTTTTTGCAGGTGACCTTGGTCACGTAACTCGAGTATCTAGTCCACAAGTAGAGGAAGGTGACAGCCGTTTTCTTGCAAATGAAGTCCTACAAGAGGTAACTGTTCTGTTAGTGGAAAATAGTGGTTAGGTCTGCATGCTGTTTTCTTTAGAGTAATGAGTTGCTGTCTGCCACCTCCTTGCTGGAGGAGAAATTTCCTAAATGGTATCCCCTTGAACACTGGTAGTACTTAAAGGGGAATGTTACATCATGGATGTGTTCAGTGCTGAATATTTCTGCTGTTTCTTACATTTCTTCTTACACTGGGTGGCATGTGTAGTAAGTTTATTTTTCTTGTATTTTTCAAGAACTACACTCATTTGCCGAAAGCAGATATTTTTGCTCTTGCTCTGACTGTTGTCTGTGCTGCTGGGGCTGAACCACTTCCAACTAATGGGGACCAATGGCACGAAATTCGACAAGGAAAACTACCTAGAATACCGCAAGTGCTTTCGCAAGAGTTACTAGACTTGCTAAAAGTAAGAACTTTTGTACCAGTGGTTCACTGATTAGTCTAAGTTACAGTATTACTGCCCTTACCTAGAATGCCTTATTTTCCTTTTTTTCCAAGGTTATGATTAATCCTGATCCAGAGAAAAGGCCTTCAGCTGTGGCACTAGTCAAGCATTCAGTGCTTCTCTCTGCTGCAAAAAAGAGTGCAGAGCAGCTCCGGATAGAATTGAATGCTGAAAAATTCAAAAACTCACTCCTGCAGAAGTAAGTAGCTCCTTGGGGTCCTTAAATAAAACTTAATTTCTAATGGGCTTTCATATGATAGTGGTGTGATGATAAAACAGGACTGTCCTTGTTTCCATATGAGGTCCACAAATCTGTCTGTATGTACATATCTGAGAGTACAAAGTGGGTTATGCAACTTTGAAAGGAACTTTCTCCATAGAAGGAACTTCTTAAACACCAAGGGAATCTCAAGGACACTATAAGTATTCAAGGCATACAAAACATTACAGGTTTTAAAAAATGTTTCAAGCATAATGCATACTTTTGTGACATGAATAACGTAACTTACACCTATATTATTTGAGTCTGTGTTTTTCCTAGGTCATCTGTACATTGAAACATGTTGGAAAATGTGACTTAAATGAGCTGGTTTGAACATAAATGAAATGGCACATCAGGAATGTTTTTGGACTAATTTGACTTTTACACAGCAGTGTTATTGGGTTACCAGAGAATAACTTGTATTGGGAGGTCATCTTGTCCTACCCCTTGTTCAAACACTTAACTCTGAATTAAAGCTGTGAAGAAGAGATTCCCTTTAGGCAAGTCTGATTTCTGCTTAAGTTTCAGAGAAAGAGTTAGTTAAGAAGCAATCGTCTGAATCTTTTACTGCAGTTAACTTTGCACGTATTATAGGCAGGCTTCTATGAGGGAATATGGAACGCTGATTACTTTCTGACTGGCTCATTTTGAATGAAGATGTTAACTTCACATTTGGATTTGCCATATGTTTATCTTGCTGTTGCTGCCATCTGAATATAGCCAGACTTGCCATTTTAGATGGTTATCTTTATAATCTTCTTATGAGTTCCACTGACTGCAGAAAGAACAATTCGACTGTTTGTGCAGGTTATTCAAGGACAGATTTGCTGAGGTAACATGCTTGCTTGTATAAAGACAACATATTTTTGTATCATGTGAAAGGGGAAGTTGGCAAAGCTAATGTTTTGTGAAGACTACTTCTGGCCTGGCAGCAAGTAGGGTACATTATATATATATATATCTCTCTCTTAGTATAAAATAATTATATATAGTTATATAAATATATAGTAATTATATATATGTTATATAAGTTACAAAATTGCATTTTATAACTGTAAATCCAAGAATTATTTAAAAGAACACTTATCCACAGTAATTTTTAACGTCATGTGGGATAGTGTTCCATAAAATAGCTCAAGTGGGTATTTTTTGGTTTATTTTGGTTTTTTAACACTCCTGCATTTGACCCATTTAAGATACCACTTGGGTCTGTAAGTTATCATCAGCGAAGGGAATCCTTGCAGGGAAACTCAACTCTTCCGCTGTGTCATTGTCTTCAGAGGAAGGAAGAGATCAAGATTAAACTTCTAGGGAAGACTGGAACTATATTGTAAAACTTAATTTCCTGGTAATGGTGTGGTGGGTGGCTATGCACACATGCGTGTACGTTTGTAACTGATACTCAATCTTTAGGGAAGATGACTAAAAACTGATTGCATTTTCTTGCAGTGAACTGACACAGTGATAATGTGGGGAGAATTAGATGGGGCACAGGTGTTAATGAATAATACTTTGGCTTATGGGAGTAGTTTTAATAAACCAAAACATGTATCTTAAACCTAAATACACCTACACTAATATGCAGCAAGTTTGTAAAATTTGATCTTGCTTTGGAGTCCAGATGTGAAGTGAGATTACAAATACTAGTTTGTAAGGGTAGAGAAAATTCTTTGAGGGATTGTTTGGGATAGGGGAAGGAAAAGGTTGTGGGGGGAATCCTTACACTTAGCCATATGTCAGTATTTAAGGAAAGGAGAATAGGGGTGTGTGGGGAAACCCTTGATAAAGATAACTGCTCTTTAGTCAGGCTATTTCATAGTTGTATCCTGAGTTTTATTTAACTTTGTCCTTAAACTGAGTATTGGTAATTCTCTGAAATAGAATAGTTGACAGAATGTTGTGCAGGGACAGTGGTCTGTGCTATCTTCAGTGACTCAGCCTTGCAGTTTTGGGCTCAAATTTTTATGTTGGGCAAAAAAAAATTAGGTGATGATAAGCTCTTGATGTGGGTATGCAAAAGGAAAAGGATGGTTCCCGAGTTGTCTGTTACCAGTTATGTTTACCTGTGTTCATCTAAGTGTCTGTGTGTCTGTCTGAATCTTCCACAGAAGTTCAGTAGTATCTGAATGCTTCGTTTGGGCAAACCTCAGTAATTAGCTCTTTGGTGATTTATCATCCTACCATGTTCTGTAATTGAAGTGTTGAGCTGCTTATAAAAGGCTGGATTTCAAAATCTGAGTTGTGTGAATTTGTCATTTCCTTCCCTGTTGTTCAAAAGAAAGAACATCTAGACAAATAAGGAACATCCCACTTCTGTCCTCTGGGTTGTAAACAGGTGGATATGAATGATAATGGTCTTAGTATGACCTAAACTAACGGCAAGTCTTAAGTTCTGAACTGTTGTAATTGACTTGAAACACTCTTGCTGTCATGCGTCTGTAGTCCTTACGGATACCATTGCGCAAGTGTGACTCTTGATGTCTTGCAGAGAGCTGAAGAAGGCACAGATGGCAAAGGCCGCAGCTGAGGAACGAGCGCTGTTCACTGACAGAATGACAACTAGATCTACGA